GCAGTGGCCAGTGCTGCCAGCAGCGTGCCCAGCAATGAGCCCAGCACCCCGGGCAGCCCATGGACGTTGTGAACCCCACGCGTGTCCTGGATTTTGAGCCTGGAACGCAGGAAGGGCTGCGGAGAGCACAGGGAAGAGCCAGGACTCAGCTTGGGGGGGGGGGTGCTGGGTCCTTGCCCTGGCACTGGTGTCCTCGGTGCTCCCAAGGCCGCTCACCGTGAGGAACCTGAAGCCAAGCGGAGGGATGAGGCCGGCCAGGAAGCCTGCGATGAGCGCCCCGAAGGGGGTGAGCAGCATCTCCCCAGCCATGCCCATCACGGCCGCACCAGCCATGGTGGCATCCTGGATCTGAGCCTGATGGAGCAGGATGCGGGCAGGGGAATGGATCATAGAGGACATCAGTGGGGGGCTTCAAACTGGGTCTTAGCAAGCTTGGGAAAGCCTAAGGGGTGAATACACCCTTGTGCCCTGGGTGTATTCACGCTCATGGACTGGGGTTTGTGTCAGGAGAGGACCCACCATGCGCAGGGTGCTCTGCTCATAGAGGACAGGCGAGAGGACGAAGGTGGCCATGGTGCTCACTGCCATTGAGAGGTAGGTGTTGAGCACTGCCCAGGGCTCAGCGCTGCCGTGGGCAGTGGTGCTGGAGGTGAAGCCAGGCCAGAAGATCCACAGGGAGATGGTTCCTGTGGGCAAGGGGAAGAAGCAGGTTTGGGTGCTGGGGTTGATCCAGGCTTTGTGCTGGCATCAAGAGATGCGAGCGGCCTCAGCTTGCAGCATGGGAGCTTCAGGCTGGCCAATAGGGCACAGGTTGGTTGTGGAGAGGGGGATGCAGCCCCAGGACAGGTCCCCATGGAGGAGGAGAGCCCCGGCCCTTGCTGGTTTGCAGGACTCTTGCTCAAAGCCACGCTGTCCTCATGGTCCTTCCACCACCACTGCTCTGGGTTGAGCTCCGTACCGACCGCAGCAAAGCCATCCGGGTGGTGCCCCCCATCCTGCTGGTGCCCCCCATCCTGCTGCTCTTCCCACTGGGCCCCATGGGGCTGGTGCAGGAGCCGGGATACCAGCAAGCCAAAGTAAGCTCCGAAGGTGTGGACGGTGATGGAGCCACCGCTGTCGCTCACCTGCTGAGCACAGCAAGCAGTGCAGGGAGGCTCCATAGGCAAGGCAGGGCTTGTCCCCATGGGCAAGGCAGGGCTTGTCCCCATAGGCAGTGACTCACCCCCAGGAGGCTGAGCAGGGTGTACTCATTGAGGGTGAAGAGGGTGACTCCCAGCAGGGTCAGCAGCAGCGTCTGCACTGGGTTCACCCTTCCCAGCACAGCTCCGATGGAGATGAGGGCGGCTGCAGCTCCAAAGGCAGCACGGGCCACGCTGGGAAGGACAAGGAGGAAGGTGTGGGGCTGGGGGTGGGGGCCCACAGCATAGGGCCCGCATCCCACTGCTCCAAGGGGCAGCGGGAGCCTTGCGATGCTCATGACAAAGGTACCACAAGGGCTGTGGTACCCAGCGCCCACTGCAACGCTCCTCATCCTCCTCCGGAGCAGAGCTGGAGTTGCACAGAGGAGGGAGCTCGTGTGCCAGGGCTGGAGCAGGGATGCTCGAGGAGCCGGGCCACAGCAGGCTCACCTCTGAGCTCCCATGTGGATCTTGCCGTTCCGGAACTGGTGCAGGAAGCCCTGGAGCAGCAGAGCCCATTGGATGGCAAAGGCCACCACCAGGATGCTGATGGCCACGCTGCCCGCTCCATACCGGCTGAGGAAGGCCACCAGGAACCCAAAGCCGAGGAGAGTTTGGAGATGGACATCCCAGAACCCTGGAGGAGAGGCAGCGGGATGGGGCTGGAGGCAGCAGGGTCTGTCCCTATGAAGGGGTTCAGGCACCCCCTGTTCTAACAGGCTTTGGAGGCCTGAAGGCTTCAGCTGAGCCCCTCAGGTTGTGCTGGTGCGGGGTAAAGCTGTCCCCTGGCACCCTTTGCAGTGGCTCCTTGCCACCCCCTTCACAACGGGCTCCCCCTGCAGCCCCGAGGCCTCTTGGGGTGTCCAAGAGCCATCAGCACCCCATTGCAGCAGGGTGACGGTGGCCCAGTGACCCCGGCTTCACCACGGCACAGGGAGCAGCAGTGGGGATGCGCTGCTTCCTTGGCCCCCTCCTCCCCATCCATCCCCATTCCCATGCCCACGCCTGCGAGAGCAGATCCTGATGGATGTGCTCAGGGCTCCTTGGCTGGAGGATGCTGGCTCCCAGCCCCACGGCACCCCCAAGAGCCGAGGCTCTGGCTCCAGCCCTCGCCTCTGCCACAGCCGCAGCCCGGAGCCCTCCAGCAGTGACTCATTCCCGTTGCCCATCCCCTTGGCGTCAGGGCATGACCCCAGCCCGACGCCGCTCCTCTGAGCTCATCCCTTGGCCTGGCGCTGGGGCAAGGAGGCAGCCGAGGCCCTGCCCAGCTCCTCCTGCTCTTCCCCGCACACAAACACCCCCCGGCGCGCTCCATCTCCCCCAGCCCACCCCAAACCCCTTCTTCCCCCATGCCCAACCCCGGCAAGGCTGAGCCCTGGGACACCCCCAGCCACAGCTCCCCCCAGCACCCCCATCCCACCCTCCCCCAGCAGCCGCTGGTGCAAAGGGGGGAGCCCCGTTCTCCGCTGGGCTTCGATGCCCTTTGCACCCCTGGGCTGTGCTGGGAGCTCTGTCCTGGCCCTCCCCTGTGCAGGAGCCGTGAGTCACTGTGTGGGGTGGGGTGAAACCGGGGGAACCTGCCTGGTCCTGCTCCTGCTCCCGATCCTGTTCCTGCTCCTGCTCCTGCCCCTGGTCCTGCTCCTGCCCCTGCTCCTTCCCCTGCTCCTTCCCCTCCTCCTGTTCCTGCTCCTGCCCCTGATCCTGTTCCTATTTCTGCCCCTGCTCCTCCTGCTCCTGCCCCTGCCCCTGCTCCTGCTCCTGTTCCTGTTCCTGCCCCTGCCCCTGCTCTTCCCCATTCCCCTCCCTCGGTACCTTTCCAACCCTTTCCACAGAAAGCCGGGATCAGGCCCTCAATCCCCAGCTCAGGATGAGCTGTGCAGGAGGATGCTCCTGCTGGGCTGGACCAAAGGAGCCGAATCCTCTGTGAAAGGAGGGTTTGGGCACTGCAAAATCCAGCAGGTCCATGGGAAGCTGTGGCTGCCCCATCCCTGGCAGTGCTCAAGGCCAGGTTGGACACAGGGGCTTGGAGCAAGCTGCTCCAGTGGAAGGGGTCCCTGCCTATGGCAGGGGTTGGAGCTGGAGGAGCTTTAAGTTCCCTTCCCACCCAAACCATCCCATGACCCTATGGAACCTCCCTGGTCTGAGCCTGGCTTTGCCCATCACCAGGAATCCCTTGCAATGTGCCTGCTTCCCCCCTCACACCCAACCCCTCCTGGGTGGGATGTGCCGGTCCCACAGCCTTGATGCCCCCCCCTGCCCTGGAGCCTGCTGCAGAGCTCGATGCGGGGGGCAGAGGGAGCCGGGCCCGGGGTACTCACGGGGGGGCTGCGATCCCCAATCCTGGCTTCTCCGGCTGCAGTTGAGGGGCTGGGAGCAGAGCCCGGGGCTGCCCTCGGGGCTGAAGCGCACAAAGGCAGCGAAGAGGAGGATGGTGAAGGTTTGGAGGAGGAAGCAGAGCGCCGAGAGCCGGAGCCTGGAGGTGGCGCCGGGCTCGGACATGGCGTGGGGCAGGAAAACCCCCCCAGATGTAGGGGGAAGAGGAGGGAAACGGGGCTGGGGCCTCAAACCCCGCCTGTGCTTGCGGCTGCCAGGCCCTGCCCTGCCCCGGTGCTTCCCACGAATGGAGCTGCCAACACGGAAACCCCGGCACCGGTTGTGCCCCATCCGGACACTGAGCCAGGGGCTGGGTGGGATGGGGGTGCTGGGGGGAGCTGTGCCTGGGGGTGTCCCAGGGCTCAGCCTTGCCGAGGGTGGGCATGGGGGGAAGAAGGGGTTTGGGGTGGGCTGGGGGAGATGGAGCGCGCCGGGGGGTGTTTGTGTGCGGGGAAGAGCAGGAGGAGCTGGGCAGGGCCTCGGCTGCCTCCTTGCCCCAGCGCCAGGCCAAGGGATGAGCTCAGAGGAGCGGCGTCGGGCTGGGGTCATGCCCTGACGCCAAGGGGATGGGCAACGGGAATGAGTCACTGCTGGAGGGCTCCGGGCTGCGGCTGCGGCAGAGGCGAGGGCTGGAGCCGGAGCCTCGGCTCTTGGGGGTGCCGTGGGGCTGGGAGCCAGCATCCTCCAGCCAAGGAGCCCTGAGCACATCCATCAGGATCTGCTCTCGCAGCCGTGGGCATGGGAATGGGGATGGATGGGGTGGGAGCTGTGAGGAGGGGGCCAAGGAAGCAGCGCATCCCCACTGCTGCTCCCTGTGCCGTGGTGAAGCCGCGGTCCCTGGGTCCCTTGGTGCTGGGGACAGGCGCTGCTTGTCTTGTGTGTCCCTTGGGAGAGCTTCCTCCACCCCTGGAGATGGATCCTGGGGGAGGGAGGGGATAAGGGGGCCCAGAACACAGCCCCATTGTGCACCCGGGTCCTGTTCCTGGCAGCATCCCGGCCACAAGATGAGGATGGGGGATTCTCTTGGATGCCTCTTCTCAGGGCTGGCAGGGAGCAGGAGTGCTGGGAGCCCCCCTTCCCCATCCCATGGGAGCTCCAAAGGATGGGAGCAGCATCCCCCTATCAGAGACTTGCCCCATAAAAGCCCTGAGAGCATCCTCCAGCCCTGGGTGCTGATACTGAGGGGTGGCTTTGCCGGTCCCAGGGGTGCTGGAGCCCGGGGTGGTGCTGGCGTTCCCGATGCTGTGGCCGGCACATAAAGGGATGTTTGTTACCCGGGCGCGCTGTGTTTTGCCGAGCAGAACAATACAGAGAAAGATGCTCACAATGGGAAATTGTGCTTCCTCCTCCCCTGCGTCCCTCGGGGAGGTGTTGGAGGGGGGGGGAACCGGACAAGAAAGTGGGAAGAGACGGAGACAGGTCCAGGAGCTTGGGCACGGCCATGGGACCGCAGGGGCACCGCGCTGCAGGGGCACTGCCCAAACCAGGGCGGTGACAGGGCCCCCATCCCTGTGTCCTTGTGTCCTCTTTTCCCTCTTGACCTTCCCAGAGCCCTCATGGGGCGGCTGTGACGGAGCCGGGACGCAGCAGGACAGGCACTGGATGGGAACGGTGGCTTCCCAAAGGGCACGGCTGGGGACGGTAAGAGGGGATGGGGAGGGGTTGGGGCATTCCCTGTCCCCTTGGCTCAGTAAGGGTGAGACCCCAATGGAGAAGCAGGACCTTGCCCTTGGCCTTGCTGAGCTCCATGAGGTTCGCACAGTCCCAGCTCTCCTGTGCGTCCAGGGCCTCCTGGATCCCATCCCTTCCCTCCGGCTTTATCGACCACCTCATCCCTGACCACTGTGCTCCCCCCAGGCACCGTCCTGCCCCCGGCTCTGAGGATGCACCAGCTTCTCCTGCTCAGCTCCCTCTGGCTCTTGCTGGTACCCTCAGCATTGAGCATCTTCCAGAGTCCAACTGGGACCCCGGGTATGGAGCTGGGGGGCACTGATGGTTGCTAGAGGAGAGAGGTGATGGTGGGGAGGCGGGGTCCAGCCAAGGACAGGGGCTGATTTGTGCTAAGGGATGGGAAAGGAAGCAGGATGGGTGATGGAAACCAGGCTGGGGATGCCATTGAGGGTTGGCGGGTGGCGGATGGGTGATGGAAACCAGACTGGGGATGCCAGTGAGGGTTGGAGGGTGATGGATGAGGGATGGAAACCAGTCTGGAGATGCCAGTGAGGGTTGGAGGGTAGCGGATGGTGATGGAAACAAGGCTGGAGACGCCAGTGAGGGTTGGAAGGTAGATGGATGGGTGATGGAAACCAGGCTGGAGATGCCAGTGAGGGTTGGAGGGTGGTGGATGGGTGATGGAAACCAGTCTGGAGATGCCAATGAGGGTTGGAGGGTGATGGATGGTGATTGAAACCAGTCTGGAGATGCCAATGAGGGTGGTGGATGGGTAATGGAAACCAGGCTGGAGATGCCGGTGAAGGTCGGAGGGTGGTGGATGGGTGATGGAAACCAGGCTGGAGATGCTGATGAGGGATGGAGGGTGATGGATGGGTGATGGAAACCAGTCTGGAGATGCCAATGAGGGTGGTGGATGGGTAATGGAAACCAGGCTGGAGATGCCGGTGAAGGTCGGAGGGTGTTGGGACAACACCAGAGCTCTTTGGTGACCCCATGGCGGGTGCCCCGCAGCCCCCCACCAGCTGCAGTACCTGCTGGAGCCGCTGCACAGCGCGGTGCACACGCGGCGCGGTGCCACGGCCACGCTGCCCTGCGTCCTGCGGGCGCTGCCCCGCAACTACCGCGTCAAGTGGAGCAAGGTGGAGCCGGCCAACTACGGCGAGAGCGTCATCATCATCACCAATGGGCTCTACCACAGGAACTACGGGCCCCTGAGCCCGCGCGTGCGCCTGCGCCGCAGCCACCGCTACGACGCCTCGCTGACCATCAGCCGCGTGGCGCTGGAGGACGAGGGCCGCTACCGCTGCCAGCTCGTCAATGGGCTGGAGGATGAGAGCGTCTCGCTCACGCTGCACCTCGAGGGTGAGGATGGGCTCGTCCCCTGCGTGCCTGGGCCGTGGTTGGGTGCTTGGGTCTGCAGCGATGCCCCCATTGCCCAGCACTGAGTCTTTGGGGGTGATAACGGCTTTTAGGGAAGCAGCTCCTCCAATGGAACCCCAGGCTGGGTTGGGTTGGAAAGGACCCTGAGATCATTCGGTTCCAACCCTTTCCACCAGAGCAGGATGCTCCAAGCCCCTGTGTCCAACCTGGCCTTGAGCACTGCCAGGGATGGGGCAGCCACAGCTTCTCTGGGCACCCTGTGCCAGCGCCTCAGCACCCTCACAGGGAACAGCTTCTGCCTTAGATCCAACCTGAGCATCCCCTGGTTCAGTTTGAACCCATCATCCCTCGTCCTACCACTCCAGTCCCTGATGAAGGCCCCTCTCCAGCATCCTTGTATCCCCCTTCAGACACTGGGAGCTGCTCTGAGGTCTCCATGCAGCTTCTCCAGGCTGAACAGCCCCACTGTTCTCAGCCTGGCTCCTATGGGAACTGCTCCAGCCCCTGCTCATCCGGATGTGACCCAACAGCTCCATGTCCTGACGCTGGGGCCACCAGACCTGCACCCAGTGCTGCAGGGGGGCCTCCCAGAGCAGCGCAGAGGCGCAGGATCCCCTCCAGGCCCCGCTGCCCTTGCTCTGGGGATGCAGCCCAGCACACAGAGGGGGGCTCAGCTTCTGCCCCTGTCCCTCCAGGCGTCGTCTTCCCCTACCAGCCCAGCAGCGGGCGCTACAAACTGAACTACCAGGACGCGAAGCGAGCCTGCGAGCAGCAGGACTCCCGCCTCGCCACCTACCAGCAGCTCTACACAGGTGAAGCATCCCCGAACCCACCCCAGAATGCTCCTCCCTGGGCACTGGGATGGTGCTGAGCCACCTCTCGCCCTGCAGCCTGGACGGAGGGGCTGGACTGGTGCAACGCCGGCTGGGTCCTCGATGGGACCGTCCGTTATCCCATCATCAACTCGCGGGAGCCGTGCGGCGGCCGCCTCCTCCTGCCCGGGGTCCGCAGCTACGGGGCCAGGGACAAGCAGAAGGACCGGTTCGATGCTTTCTGCTTCACCTCCGCTCTCCAAGGTAGTGCTGGGGTCCCGCTGTCCCTCCCATCCAACCCCGGTGCACACCTAGACTCGAATCGTGGAATGGGTTGGGTTGGAAGGGACCTTAAAGCTCATCTAAAGCCATGGACAGGGGCCTCTTCCATTAGAGGAGGTTGCTCCAAGCCCCTGTGTCCAACCTGGCCTTGGACACTGCCAGGAATGGGGCAGCCCCAGCTTCCCACCGCCCTCACAGGGAAGAGCTCCTGCCTAAGGTGCAGGAGGTATCCGGGATGGGGTCGTGCATCCCATCACCAATGGTGGCTCCTTCGCTTCCCACGTTCCCCCCATCCCCAGGCCACGTCTACTTCATCCGGGGCCACCTGAACTTCAAGGAGGCGGCGCAAGCGTGCCGCAACCACGGCGCTGCCATGGCCAAAGTGGGGCAGCTCTATTCCGCATGGAAGTTCTCCCAGCTGGACCGCTGCGATGGAGGGTGGCTGGAGGACGGCAGCGTGAGGTTCCCCATCACCACCCCCCGCCAGCGCTGCGGGGGGCTCCCCCATCCCGGGGTCCACAGCTTCGGCTTCCCCAGCAAGGACCGGCGGATCTACGGCACCTACTGCTTCGTGGAGGAGTAGGAACGCCGGGAGGAGAGGTGGGAATGTGGGGGGACACCAGCCCTTGGGGCAGGGCATGAAGCAGGGCTCTCCTGGTGATTGCGGGTGGTTCCTACATCCTCTGATGGAGCAACAGGGATGGGTTTGGGCGCTTGGTGCATCCTCTGATGGAGCTGCTTCGGGGCTCGCTGGGTGCTCAGGGCTTGCTGGAGAAGCCAAACCCATTACTGGGGCTAGAAAGGGGGTCTCATCCAGCACCCTTTTCCCCAGCCCCAGCACATCCCTCACCCCATCCTCGCTTCCCACAGCCAGGAGGACTCTGGAGGGCTGGGCATTACCCTGTGTGACTAATGGAGTTTCACCTGCTCGATTAATAAAGCACTTAAAGCTGTATGGCCGCTGCCAAGGGAACCCCTGGCCTCCAGGAGAGGGGAATTTGATGAGGATTTTCCACCTCCATCAGGGGATGATGCTGCCCCAGGGGTTATCGCTGATCCTGGCACCACACTCCGGGGCTTGCTGAGTTATAAAGAGCTATTAAAAACCCCGGAGTTGGCGTGGTACAGGGGGAAAAACCGCGTGGGGAGGATGCCAGCATCCCCGGCACCTGAGCCCACATGTCCCAAGTGTTCGCTGCAAGCAGCATCCCTCATTGGGCTTTGCCTCCCTGTTTGTGTGGTCCCTGGGGACATCGCTGTGCCCAGGCTGTGCCAGGGGCTCTCTGGCTCCATGGTGCTGCCCATGTGGGGAAGAGCTCAACCACCACAGGATCCCATCCATGAGGGTGTCACAGGATGAGGCCCCTTGGGCCAGAGGTGGGAGAAAGCTGGTGGTGACACCGGCCCGTCGGTGCCACCATTTGCCCCTGGTCCCCACCTTGATGTCGCCTCTGTTGTGCCCCCAGGAACGAACCAAACACTTGTGCCCCATTTCGGGTCCTTACGGGTTTAGTTATGGGGGTTTCTTTGTACAGATACAAAACCAAGGAGCAGGGGAACCCCGTTTGTGCCACGCGGGCTCCGCGCCGCTGTCCCAGCGCCATCCCCATCCGCACCAGTGCCAGGGCCCCGCGAGGTGGCGGCTTCATCCCTGGGGTCCCTCTCAGTCATCGCGGGGCTGAGCCAGGCCTGGGGATGGTTGAGGGGGGGACAAAAGGACCCGGATGTGAATGGGGAGCCCCGAAGGCAGACGGAGGGCAGAGAGGGGAGCGCGGTGCTCACCGGGCCGGCAGAGGAGCTGCGGCGGGTCCCATGTCCCGTCCTCCCGGCACCGGAGCAGGGGCGAGCGGCGCGGCAGGAAGCCGGGGCGGCAGCGGTACCGCGCCGTGGAGCCGATCTCGTAGCGCTGCTTTGGTTTGCCGAAGGCACGGGCGTTGCTGATGGCGGGGGGCGGCCCGCACTGCACTGTGGGTGTATGGGGAGGGGGGGGCAACAGGGGATGGACACCCCCAAACTACAGCAAACAGCCCCCAAACGAGCCAAGCAGCCCAAGGGGCTGGTTCCGCACCGCAACCACAGTGAGAAAGCCCCGCTTTAGGGGTGCAGCCCCCGCCCCCCCAAGCCCAGTGCAAGGGAACGGGGTGGTGGGAGGGGGGGCACGGCTTACCCAGCCCCATTTTGCAGGTGTAGGAGAGGTGGTAGTTGCAGGGCACGTCGCTCCACTGGCCCCCGTCGTGCCACACGATGACCACGCAGTTCTCCCCACTGAGGAAGTAGCTGTCGGGCTGCCCGTGATGCCAGTTCTCATAGAGCTAAAGGGAGGGGGGCACAGAATTGTTGGGGAGCATCCCCCCAACCTGCCCATGACACCCCCGTTAGGAGCGAGGTGGCAGCTCCATGCCCCTTGGCACGGCCTTGGGGTCCATCCAGGCACCCCTGAGGATGCTCTTGGGGAATCAAAGCCTGGTCCCAGTGCTGGACCCACCCCCAGACCCCTTCCCAAGCGATGGAGGAGGAGGATGATGGAGGATGATGAGGTGAGGGGGGGGGGGTGCACATGGCATCCAGGCCCCCACTTACCAAGGGGCTCCCGTCGGACCACTGGAAATCCCCCTCTATGGTCCGGTCATTCAAGCCGATCCACTGGTATTCTCTGTACTGGTCTGGGGGGCAGGAGGGTATTGGGGGAGGTAGAGCCAAGACCACCCCCCCCCCCCCCAGCACCAGCCGTCAGGAGGGGGCTCGAGGAAGCTGGAGGCTGAATATGGGGAGATTTGGGGTCTGGGGGTGAGGAGGGGCGGTGCTGGGACGCTTGGGGACATGGGGACAGGGCCGGACGGGAGGTGGCGGCAGAGCCCCGTGTGCCCAAGACCCTGCTGCTCCCTGCCTGTCCCTGCTAAGCTTTAAGGTCCCTTCTAACCCAAACCAGTCTGTGATTCTATGATTCTCTCTGTGTGTCTCCCCATCCATCATCCATCCATCCATCCATCATCCATCCATCCATCCATCATCCATCCATCCATCCATCCATCATCCATCCATCCATCCATCCATCCATCATCCATCCATCCATCATCCATCCATCCATCCATCCTCCATCAGCCAAGTGAACATCTAACCACACTCTGGGCAGTCCATCCCATCAGCTACTTCCTTTACCCTTCATTTCCTCTGCCTTCCCCAGCCTGGGTCCCTTTGCTCTCCCTTGGCTCTCCTTTGGCTTCAAGGTTTCAATCTCTGAAGCCCAGCCCTGGGGGACGCCGAGGGCCCCAGGGGCAGGGCTCAGGATGGGGATGCAGTGGGGTCCGTACCGTTGATGAAGTCCTGCTCCTCAGGGGTCAGGATGGTGGCCAAGTGTCCCCCGTAATGCCTGCACTGTCCCTCCGCGTCCTCCCAGCTCCTCCGGGTGGAGAAGTGCTTGTAGCAGGCTCCTTGGAAGCTGTCCCAGCCAGGGCTGCACTGCCTCAGTGCTGAGCCACAGTGGGGAGAGAGGAGAGGGTCAGGGTGATGGAGCCCCACTGGGCAGCAAGCAGAGAACCCCAACCCCTTCAGTTCCCCACATTTACGTGTCCAGGCTCAGCAGGACCTGGGCAGGGCCCTGGCACATCCATGGTGGGTCCTGGGCACTCACGTCTTTCGCAGCTGGTGCCTCCGTAGCCAGGCAGGCAGAGGCAGGAGACGGGGCCATCGTCCTCCGTGCAGGTCCCTCCGTTCAGGCAGGGGTTGGGGATGCAGCCACCTGCAAGGCACACGCAGGTCCCTCACCTCGAGCTCCCCACAGGTCCCTGCTCTGGTCATGGAGGCGCATGGAGAGCCTGGAGCCACCCCACACTGCCCTTGGTCCATGGATGCTGCTGGCGTGGAGCCGGCTGGACCAGGGGCTTTGGCCTCCCCCCAGGGCACGGGGACGTGAGCTGGATGCTCTCATCCTCCACAGCAGGAGCTCGGGGCTGTGCCAGCCCCTGGCCTGCTCCAGCCACCTGGGGATGGCTCCTGCTTCCCCCTGCAGTGATGCAGCCTTGGGACGGGAGCGTGCAAAGGAGGAACCCTTGGGCACAGCCCGTCCCTCTCCCTGTCCCTCTTGTCACCTTCAGCCTGGCCAGGGCTGATAACTCATGTCCCCAGCAGCCCGTTACGGTCATTAAAGCTCCCGGGGCACATCGTGTGCTCCCAGCCCCGGCTCAGGACCGTGATTAAGGGGCTGCAGCGGCGCCAGTGGAGCAGAGACACTCAGAGTCCTTGACGCCCTCCAGCCTGTGATGCCCCATTACACGGTGCTTGGAGCCGTGCTGAGGGCGATGCTTCCACCCTCACCCACCCCCAGGCACCGCCACCTCCCCGCAAGGTGCCTCAGGACACTCAGCTCATCCCCCGCATGGAGCAGGATGAGTCACTTGGGGCTCTTAACACCCACGGATGGCTCTTTGTGAGCATCTCCCCTAGCCAGGGCAAAGGCGCCCATCCCCTGAGATCTGGCCTCCCACCATGGAGCATCCTCCATGCCACAGGACCAGGGCAGCGGGGTCCCATGGGATGAGCAGGAATAGGGCTCGGCACTGGAGCAGGGAGCATCCCAGAGGCCATTCATGCACCCACTGCTGTGGCCATGCCTGTGGCCATTCATGCACCCACTGCTCACCCATCTCAGCCCCCACGGGTGGGAGGACACACACAGGACTGGGTGGGGGGGCTGCAGCGATCTCAGGGTGCTCTGAACCCCAGAATCCCCCCCCCCTCACTCACACCATGCAGCTCCCTCCACCCAGGGAGGGTGCCAAGCACCCGGGTCCCCTCACCCCATCAATCCCCCCCCCAGGGACCCGAGGGATGGGGATTAGTGCGTCAGTGGGGAGGCCGCGGGCGCGAGGATGAAGGGAAGAGCAAGCCGAGGTGCTTGTTCTAGAAAGCTTTTAATTCCCTTTATTAGTACCACCGTTAGTGAAGAGGGGGGCTCGGGGCCGCATTTGGGGGGGGGTGTTGTTATTCTGGGAGGGGGTTTCTCATGGAAAGAGTCATTAAAACACTTCACAGAAGTAGAAGAGGTTTAAAGTGCATGCGGAGCTCGGACCCATTTGTTTGACAAACGCGTGCTCCTCCAGAGCTGTGACCTTCCCGTACCCAGCCCAGGAGAAGGGACGCGGAGGGACGGGCGCAGGGCAGCGCAGCGTGAAGGAAAGGTGCTGGCAGTCCCTATGGCCACAGCGCGGCCACCAGCGCTGCCCCCAGGGCCAGGGCGCTGCCTTGGGGACCCGCGGCGCCCGCCCCGACGCTGGCCCGCTCGGTGGGGAGGGCGGGCAGGGGCACTGCGGTGCTGGGTGCCGGCTCCCCCAATGGGGTCCCCATGGGGATCACCCCGGAGCTGAGGCCGTCCCTGCGGGTCCCACCTGGTTCTCCGGGCACGGCTGCAAGGAAACCCTCCACGGTTGCAGCGGGGGGAGCGGGCGGCTCCTCCTCCTCCTCTTCCTCCTCCTCCTCCTCCTCCTCCGAAGATGCTGCAGGCGTCCCATGCTCAGTGCCCGGCGCAGCCTCCTCGCCTCCCATGGCCGCGGTGCTGCTGCCGCCGCCGCCAGGCACCTCCGTGTGCCACGGGGTGACCACGGTCACCTCCGCCGCGGGGACGGTGCCCCCGTGCCCCGGGGCCACGGGCGATGGGAGCCACAGGGCCCCCGACGGCTCCTCTCCCTCCTCCTGCGGCCGCACGGGGGCCGCGGGCAGCGGGGACGCCCCGGGGCTCTCCACCACGTCCCCCGAGAGCTCCGCGTCTTCAGCAGCAGGGCCGAGGGTGCTCCCCCCGCCGGGGGGGGTCCCGCCGTGCTCTCCCCTCTCTGTCGAGGTGGCAGAAGCGGCGCTGGTCGGCGCTGGCCCCCGGTGCCCCGGTGCCGCGGTGATGGCAGCGTGGGCTGAGCGCCCCACAGCATCCCGGGGGTGCTCGGGGCCAGGCGTGGGGCTGGGCGGGCGGGGGAACCCCTCGGGAGGCTCTGGGTCACCTTCTGCAGCCCCCAGCACGGGCGGGGCACCAGTGGGTCCCTCTGCGCCCACCCGCGGGGAAACGGAGAGCATCTGCACGCCGGTGGCTCCATCGTGCTCCATGGGCTGGCTGGGATCTCGCCCTTCAAGCGTGCTGCCAGGGGCTGCTCCCTGCTCCTCCTCTGCAAAGGGCAAGGCAAAAGGTGGTGAGGGGCTGGCACCACGGAGCCGCAGCCAGAACCGAGGGGCCACGGGCACCGGCATCGCCCGCCGGTGCTGGGATCCGGCACGAAGATGCTCGTGGAGACGGGAATGGCCCCGAGTCCCCTTGATGTCCCCTCTGAACCAGCGCACAGGGAGCTTCGGCTTGGCCCCTGCCAAGCTTCCCGGCAGCAGGGGCCGTGCTCAGCCCCTCACCCTGCGCCTCGGGTCCCTCCGGCCACCAGACCCTGCTCTTTGTGCTGCTAAACCGCAGTCCTGCACCGACCCTGTGCCAAGGGAGGGACGGACCCATGTCCCCGCAGCCCTACAGCAAGACACCGGTGCCCTTCCATGGGTTGTCCCTCTGCGGGAGGGATGGGGATGGCTGGGGTGAGCCAGGCACCCATGGGTGCCTCTGAGTCCTGCTGCCTCCATCCCTGCGGCTCCTCTCTGCACACCAGCGTGGGATGGGTGCCCAACCGTCACCCCATCCTGCTCCATGTCCCCATGGAGGACGAGTCCCCAGCTGCCCCTGTCACCCACGCTGCTCCTCAGGGAATGGGCTCCCATTCCCACCACAGCTAAGAGAAACGCCTGCCTGAGGGGCACCGGGGCCATGGGGAAGGGGGTGGCAGGGGTTGGGTGACCTGAGGACATGGAGGTATCTATTGGGGGGTGCCGGGCCCCTGTCCCTGGGGCGTCTTCGGGGGCCGGGCTCGGCTGCCCCAGATCATCGTCCATAAAGAAAGGGACGGCGTAAATAGCCCCTCGCGACTCAATCTCCACTTGCGCTTTGGGAAGCTGCAGCTCCTCCAGCTTTTCTGCCACTGTAACAATCTCCTGGAGGCCCTCGGAGCTTCCTGGAGCCTCAGGGAAAGAGTTTGTCCCTTCTGTGGGCAGAAAGAAAGTGGGGTATTACTGCCCTGGCCATGGGACAGCCTGGCATCCCGCTGCGGACCCAGCCAGGCAGCGGCTCCTCCTGCTTCTAGTGCACAGCAGCATCCCAGCCCCGGTGGGGGGGGTCCTGCTCCTCACCCCCAGCCCAGCCCAGGGAGCGCAGGTGAACGTGGGGAGTTAGTGGGTTATGGGAACCGCGGGGTCATGGGACGGGTCCACCCTGCCTAACCCATGGGATTCCCTGCTGAGAGATGGGGAAACTGAGGCACGGGGATGCGCAGCATCCCCATGGCCCCGAGGGGATGCACAGAGGTGTGGGGCCGGGAAGGAGGAGCGGAGGGGCGGCTCTTCCTCCCTCCATGCCTGTTTGCCCTGCCAGTCTCCAGCCTTCCTCATCCCCTCCTGCTTTATCCCCCCTGTCCTCCAGCACCACCCCATCGGCAGCTCAGCGCCGGTGTCCGAGTCCCGTTTCCTATTCACCACTGTGAGATGCTGCCTTGCGGGATGTGCCCAAGCTCCTGCAGTGCGCCCCTGGCCATGGGAATAACCATCCCGGAGCCACGCAGCTCACGCAGACCTGTCCTGTCGCGATATGGTGGTGAGGATGTGCAGGGCATCCCTACTCTGTCACGATAGAGCAGCATGCACTATTGAGACCATGCAGAGCATCCCTCCTCTATCACCACGTAGCAGCATGCACTACTGAGAGACCATGCAGAGCATCCCTCCTCTATCACAACATAGCATGCATGAGGCCCATGCGGGTTATCCCTGTACACATCGGCATGCAACACAGACACCACGCAAGGCACCCCTATCCTACCGCAGGAGGTCGATAGCACAAACCCATCCTTGCCCTAGCGCATCCCAACGCCATCCCATCCGTGCACACACCCCAGCACCCTGCACCCAACGAGGTACCCGCATCCCTGCCTGGATGCTTCCCAGCACCTCTCTGCACCCGCTCTTTACCTCGGAAGCAATAGGCATCGTATCTGCTCTGGGCATCGGGGAAGCCCGTCTGGTTGCGGAACTGGAAGATGGTTTTGACTCCAGGCAGGGCCCCCCCGCAGCGCTCCCGGGGGGTGACGATCGGGTACCGGACGCTGCCGTCCGCCAACCACCCCGGGTTGCAGGCGTCCAGCCCCGCGCTCCACGCCGCATAGAGCTGCCCGGGGCTGGCGAGCTCCGCGCCCCGCGCCCGGCACCGCGCATCCGCCTCCCGCAGCGTGAACCGCGCCGGGGCCGTCTCCAGAAAGATCTCCCCTGCGAAGAGAGGAAGGAGGCGGCGTCAGGGACCGGGCGGGGGGCGAGGGAGCGGGGACCCCCCCCCCAACATCGCCTTCACCTCTGGAGGCTCTGCTGCGTCCCATAGGAACAGACCCAGGGTTGAAGGGAGCTTAAAGCCCATCCAGCTCCATCCCCTGCCACTGGAGCAGGGTGCTCCAAGCCGCGTCCAACCTGGCCTCGAACACTGCCAGGGATGGAGCATCCAAACCCATCCCAGTTCCTCAACACCCTCACAGGGAAGAGCTTCTGCCTAAAACCCAGCCTGAACTTCACCTCTTTCAGTTTGAACCCATCACCCCTTGTGCTGTCACTACAACTCCTGATGCAGAGTTCCCTCTCTGCATCCAGCTCCCCGGCACATGCAAAGCACAGCATCAGCTTGCCCGAACCCCAAACCCCACACAGCGCTGCACCCACAGTGCGCTGCACCCCAAGGCAGCTCACTCCAGCCCTGAGGGTAGTGATGGGCACCAGCGTGGGTTCACAACGGGTTAAAGGGGTGAGTTAGTGCAGCTGCAAAGCAGGGGAGGGCAGGAGATGGGGCGGTGGTGGCACTGCAGGTACCTGGGAGGTCCTCAGCGTAGCAGTACACATCATACATGTCCTCTGGGTCCACCACCCCATAGTTCCTCACCCCGGGGAAGCCGTTCATGTCTCCATAACAGGCTTCACGGGGGGTGTGGATGGGATACCTGGGGAGGGACATGGCAGGAAGGGCTGGTGACTTGCTGGGGGGTCAATGTGGGGGGGGCGCTGGGTGCGATGCTGAGGGGTTAATGCCCCACCTGACGGTCTGGTCCGAGATCCAGCCGGCATCACACTGCTCGTAGCCGCCGAGGTAGGCAGCATAGAGCTGCTCGGGGGTGGCGATGTGGGCCCCGATCTTGGCACAGGCTTCCCTTGCCTCGGCGAAGGTGTAGGCATAACGCATGGAGCCCTCCCGGTAGTGAAACACCACCCCTGCAAGGGGATATGGGCTCGATGGGCAACCCGCATCCCGGCGCATCCGCATCCCACCGCTCCCTGCCCGCAGGTACCTTTGACTCTGAGGTCGAGGATGTCGTGGCCGTCCTCGATGCCGTGCTGCACATCGCAGCGGTAGATGCCCGAGTCGTTGGGCCGCAGCTCGGTGAGCAGCAGGGAGGCGTTGGTGTAGCGCTGGTGGAAGATGGGCAGGGAGGCGCGGAGCCGGTAATCCTCGCTCACCTTCACCCGGTCCCCACGCGCTACCAGGATCTCCACCTCCCGGCCCTCGGAGATGAAGGTCCACTTGACCCGAGGGGTACCCAGCACCGCGCGGCGCCCGCCGCTGCTGCTGGTGGGCTGGGGGCCGAGGTAGGTGATGAGGCAGGGGATGGTGATGTCGCCCGCCAGGACAGCATCCAGGGCTGGGTGCCGTGGGATGGAGACCTGCAGGGCCTTGAGGTCCTCTGTGTGGGAGAAGAGAGGAGCCGTGAGCATGGGGTGACCCCCCCCACACTCCCACCCCAGGCCCCCCACTGGAGCCAGGATGCGGCTCACGGTGCGGGTTTACCTGCGCCATCCCCGGTGCCAAACACCTCCGGGACCACGGTGGGGGCAAACACCCAGAGCAGCAGCAGCGGCAGCGGGAGGGCTGGGGCCATGCTCTGCCCTGCAAAGGGAGGGGAGAAAAACCCATCACATGTGAAGCGGAGAGGATGGGGGACCCCCCCCCCAAGTGTGTGTGGCGATGGGGTGATGCCGTGAGGTGTTGGGGTACAGAGGGAGGGAGTGGCAACAGCCATAGGGCAAGGGAAAAGAAGGGAATGGATCCTGGTTAACACGGGCAAATGGGACCGTTGGCTGGGCACCAGTGGGTCCCATCCAGCCCCACCAGCGTGGGGTCCCCTGGGGACAGCAGAACCCAGCCTGGGAAGTCTGAGCCCGAGCCCTGGCTGCGGAGGGCAGGAGGCGATGCCAGAGCCGGAGCCTTGAATCCACAGCGGAAAACCTCGGGATCGGTCGGGAGGCGCCGGTGTGGAGCCAGGGAGCGGCAGCGAGGGCCGCGCACACGCGTGTGCACAGGGGCTCCTGTACACGCGTGTGCGTGCGCCCGGACACGCGTGCTCGGAGGGATAAAGGGGGCTGAGGTCAGCCTCGGAGTGGGGCGGGGGGCAGAGCCCCAGCGCACAAAGGGGCCGGGCAGGGAGGAGGGAAGGAGCGGGGGGGGGGGGGGTCTCTTTGCCATTCAGCTCACGCCGGAGGCTCCCTGAGCTCAGGCTGGGAACACCAGGGCCGACCAAAGCAGCTCTTATGTCCCGGCCCTCCCAGGGCCGCCTGGCACAAAGGGCGCTGAAAGGACGGCTCCGTGCTATAGCGGGGCTGTCACCGGCCCCCGGCCCTCCCCGGGGCATCACGGATGGGGGGGGGCTGCTGCTTCCCAGGGTCTCTTGCAGCCCTGCGGAGAGGAGGGTGATGGGGGGATGCAGGAGATGCGCCGGGAGCATCGCTCGGGGCCCCCTGGTCCCTCTGCACAGGCTCCATGGGGATGGGGGCTCCTGGGAATGCGCCCCGGGCACTCGCAGCAGCCTTGGAGCCCATGGGTTCTTTGTGCTGTGGATTTCGGCAGCCTCAGAAGAGGGTTTGGCTCCTGCACAGCGCTCCCAGGGCCAGGTACAGGCTGCCAGGGCCAAGCTGGCGGGAGGCCGGTCCCATCCCTGCATCCCTGCGCGAGCAGAGCGCTCTTGGGACCAATGCAGCAGGGAGAGGCTGGGAATACAGCCCCTGGCACCATGCACCGTGGATGCGCAGCCCCTGGTACACCCATGGATGTGCAGCCCCAGCCCCAAGCACCGTGAGCATCACCCATCGTGCGGTGCCCACAGAGCCCGTTCCCAGCAGGAGCTCCCCATGGGCAGCCGGAGCCAAGCCAGGAGCTCTCTGTGCTCCCCATCATTTGCATTCAGCCCTAGAGCTCCGGAGCAGGGACAAACCCTCCCTCCTGGTGGCCTGGCTCCAGCGGGATCTGGCTGCTGGCCCTGGGTGCCCAAGCAGGGAAGCTCCTTCCCTTCCCGTTCCCAAGGCACCGCCGTGGCCTGAGCCGAGGGCAGTGATGAAACCCTTCAGGAACGGGGCGAGCGGGTGCCTGCTCCCCTCATGCACCCATCCCTGGCTGGGATAAGGTGCTGGAGCACCGGGAATGGGACGTGGAGGGGGTTAAACCTCATCTCACGCTGCCCATGGGCCGTGCCTGAGGTCTTGGAGCAGAAGGCGCCGGGTTTGGGGTTTGGGGATGGATTTCTGCTGGGTTTGGGGTTTCTCTCTTTGCACAAATGGAAAGTTTTGCAGCCCACACACAGGGAGGGGAAAGCCGGGAACAGGAGGAGGGAAAAGTGGCCAGGAAGAGGGGGGGCATGATGGCAGCTCCATCATCTCCAAGAGCTTGGAGCTTGGGAGCTGCTGCAGACAGACTGAGACACAGGCATGCCCGCAGGTGACATCCATCTCCAATGGGAAACCAGGTGGAAAATGGAGCTGGAGTCTATTTTGGGATGGGAACGAGCTCCCTTGCTCCCCTGAGCTCGGCCCCGCTTTCAGAGGACACGATTCGAGGCTGCGGCTCCAGGGTGGGGGGAAGCGGGAGCTGCTGCCAGGGGATGGATGGATGATCCCGGCTCCCTTCCCGTATGGAAAGGGGCTTCCTGCTCCTCCTCCACGACCCCCTCGTCCCCTTCCACACGCGGTCGGGCTCCTCCCGGCGCACAAGGTGCCCGCAGCCCGCAGCGGAGCGGTGGCTTTCCAGGGATGCTCAGCTGCAGAATGAGTCAGCAGCAGCCACGGGCAGAGCTTGGCCACGCTCCAGCCTGGAGCACGGAGCCTTTGTCCCCATGGCAAAGGGCTCCGGACACCCCAGCCCCAGCCATGCACGCACCCATCCCGCCACGCACGGGGCTGCCTCTGGAGCCGTTCCCCCGCTGCAGCCGGGATCCAGCCCCATCGGGCTCCGAGGGGTCGGGAAGCGCCCTCAGCCTCTTGGCAGCAGCCGCTGGCAAAGCTTGAAAGGCCGGAAGCAGGTGGGGAGAACGGGGGGGTCCCCGCGGCTGCCAGAACCCCTCAGCCCCCCCTATTCCAGCAGAGAGAAAGGGGCTCCTTGTTGTAGGGCTGGGATGCAGCAGGGAGCGCACGGAGGGGTTGGGATGGGAGCAGAGCCCATAGGGACACATGAAGCAAACCTATCCCCACCTCTGCCCTTGCTGCGGGGCTCCGATGGGGAAACTGAGGCAGGAGCTGGGAGAAGAGGAGTGCGGGGTGGAGGATGTGGGGTCCCACATCCCCGCATCACGGCTCAGATGCAGCCCCTCCGCACGCTCACGCAGCATCCTCGCTCCCAGCACAAGGGCTCCCAGTTTCCCCAGTGTAAACGCAGAAAGGGAGCCCTGAAGCATCCCGGTCACCCTCCAGGAGCTGGGAAAGGCGCCGGGATGGGGCAGAGGGAGCTTTTCCCACCCCTCCGGCAGCTCAACGGAAGAGCAACAGGTCCGGGGTTGGACTGAGCCAGGAGAAGTCCCCGTGATGGGAGAGGAGGCGGCTCCAGCCAAAAGCGGTCCCCGGAGGCGATGCTCAAGGGCAGCCCCTTCATCCCGGGGACAAAACGGGATGTGCGGGAAGGAAAAAGCCACGGAAATCCCACATGTTCCTATGATCCCCCCTGCACTGGGACACGGGCAGTGCTGGGGGACGGGGCCAGGAGAGCCGGTGATGCCCTGCAGCCCTCCCAGCTCCCCCTGGGACGGGGCAGTTTTGCCCTATGGAAAACCTCTCCATGGAGCATCCGGGCGGGACTGGGGGGGAGCCGGAGCCCCGGGGCTCTGTGCAAGCCCCTGCCCAGCTCCGTGCCTCAGTTTCCCTTTCCATTGTTCCCCTGACTGCAGCCTCCTTGGGACAAGGACCCCAGGAGAGAAGGGGAAGGCTCCCCGGGATGGGACACCCCAGATCCATGCTGGACCCCCCTTCCCCTCCATCAGCTCTCCCAGAGCAACGCTTCCATGGGAGCAGCTGCTGAAACATCCCCCAGGTTCCCACCATTCCCAACGGGACGAGCCGGGCAGCACCAAAGTCCTTTCCACATCCAACTTAGCAAGACCCTGCCTTTACTCCCTGCTTTGCCCCAGCACTGCAGGTACGAGCTGGTCCATTCAAGACCAGAACGATGCTGTCAGGGGGGCGGTGACAAGGGCAAAGCTCCCCAAAGCGGGACCACGGGGACCACCACGTTCCAGCATCCTCCTGCTCTGCTATGGAGGATGCCCCATGCCCGGTGCCTGCATCCCATGGGAAAAACCACGAGGGAAGCTCTCGGCATCCCCGCGCTGGACCATCTCTCCTCTTTACTCTCCCCCGGCGCAGAGGTGAAACGCGATAAGAGGATGAGGAGCTCCCTCCTCACCCCTCGTCCCTTCCCCACCGCGTTCCCCCCCCTCTGCCGCATCCCACCTTGCTCCATGCGCGGCGGCAGCTCCGTGGGGACCCTTCCTGGTGGTAGTGGTGGTGGTGGCAGCGCCGGGGGGGGGTGCCGAGCCCCGAGGCCACGGTGAGGGGCTGAGCGGCGGCTTCTCCGGGGCAGTGCTGGCGGGAGGGCTGGGACCGAGCTCCACCAGGCATAAGTGCAGGCAGCGAGCAAAGAGGAGCCCTGTACGCGTGTGTGTGCGGCCGTGCCCTCGTCTCCTTTTCTTTTGCCTTCGTTTCCCTTCCCCTTTCCCTCCTCCTTTTATATTTATTCCTTCCCCTCATTAAAGGAGGGGGGGGAACAGGCGGTGACCGTGTTGGCACCAGCGCCTTGTCCCTCCCCTTCCCTCCTTTCCCTCCCTCCTGGCAGCAGGCAATCCCAGCACAAGATGCTGGGAGAGGAGGATGCTCAACCCTGGCACGCTGTTTAACCCAATGCAGCACAAGTGGAGGAGCAGCCGGCGCTGGATCCCAAGGACATGGCTGGAGAAGGGACCCCCCCTCCCCACCATTCGCTTCCACACAGCCGGGAATGCCCTTTGGATGCTGAATTCTACCCCTTGGCAGCTCCAGCTGGATGAGGAGGGGGCCATGGGCAGGGGTCTTTGCCATGGAAAATCCCTTTTGGGAGTGGATGGAGGCGCCATCCGGGGGCTGGAGGGACCCAGCCCCAAAAGGGTTGGGAGGGAAGAAGCCGGACCCTGGCTCCCGTGCCTCAGTTTACCCACCTGCAGCCGTGTCACGGGCACTTAACGCATCTTTAGGCTTGATGCCTCGCAGATTCCTCCTGAAGGGCCCCCCTTGGGGTGCGGAGTGAAGCTGAGGACCCTCATTTAGGAGCCGGGCAGTGCCCATCGGCCAGCCTCAGGGCTGCTCTCCCCCGGACCTGGCTCCCGCTGGGTGGGATGTGGAGCATCCTCTGGCTCCTGCCAGTTCATTGCAGGGTGAGTTTGCAGCAAACTGCAGCTCCTGAGCGGAATCCATCATTCCTCACCCCGGGAATTAATTACGGTGAAGGCGGCTTCGCGCTCGGTGCAGTGCGGGGGGGGGACGGAGGATGCTCTGCCCTCCAGCGATAGGGATGTGCACTGGGATGTGGTACCCAGCTCTGCCCCCCCCCGCCCCGCGTCGAACCCCATCCATGAGCTCACATCCTGCACCCGGTGGTTTTGTGGTGAAAGGCTCCGGGTTGGGAATCGCAGAGCTCAGCAAGGAGCATCCCCGTCCTAATTGGGAACAAATGTTCCAGCCTGGATGGGGTTTCTGCTTTCCAGCCCTGTCTTGGGCTCATACCCAGAGCGGGAGCATCAGGTCATGGAGGGGATCCTGCCTCTCTGCTGTGCTCTATGAGATCCCCCCCCTGCATCCTGCATCCAGCTCCGGGGCAGCAGCACAAGAGGGACCTGGAGATGCTGGAGCGAGGCCAGAGGAGGCCATGGGGATGCTCCGAGGGCTGGAGCAGCTCTGCTCTGGAGCCAGGCTGAGAGAGCTGGGCTGGGGCAGCCTGGAGAAGAGAAGGCTCCTGAAAGGGAGAGCTTAGAGAAGCTCCAGTGCCTAAAGGGGCTGCAGGGAACCTGGAGAGGGGCTTGGGACAAGGGATGCAGGGACAGGACAAGGGGAATGGCTTTGACCTGCCAGAGGGGGGGTGGAGATGGGGTCTTAGGCAGAAGCTCTTCCGTGTGAGGGTTTTGGGACACTGGGATGGGTTGAATGGAGGTTTGGATGCCCCATCCCTGGCAGTGCTCAAGGCCAGGTTGGACACAGGGGCTTGGAGCATCCTGCTCCAGTGGAAGGGGTCTCTGCCCATGGCAGGGGCTGGAGCTGGAGGAGCTTTAAGGTCCTTCAACCCAACCCGTTCTGTGGTTCGATGACTCCATCCATGCCGGCTCAGAGGACACCTTCCAGGGTTGTGGCTCTGCCCATCCCTTCCCAGGGCAGCTCCTGGTCCTTCCTGGCTGCTGGCATTGGTGGGGAAAAGCTCTTGGTACCTCCAGGTCCTGGAAGGGGTGAGGGAAGAGGGAGAAAAGCAAAGTGGCAGCAGGGCACAACCCCTTATTAGACAGCAGAGAATCTCCATCCCTGCCTGCAGCCACTGAGGGTCTCCCAGCTCTTCCCATTGCCTGAGGCCCAGTCCCAGCAGCCAAGGGCATGCGAAGGGGTCCAGTCCCCAGTTGCATCCATGCTGGAAGAGCCCCAGTGCCCAGCTGTGCTTCCTCCTCCTCCTCGTCCTCCTGCTCCAGCCCTGCTTGAAGTCACGTAGCAGCTCTGACACGTGCCTTGTGCCAAGCTGCTGGCACCACGCATCCCAATCCCATGGGATCCTGACCCCAAGCATCCTCCAGAGACAAAGACCTCCTTATCCCATGGGATCCTGACCCCGAGCATCCCCCAGGACACAGATGGCCCAAGTGATTCCCAGCGCTGAGCACCCCACAGGAGGAAGGGATGCACAGACATTCCCATCCCCGAGTGTCCCCCCGGGTTCTCCCAAGCAGGGAAGTCCTGGGACCCCTCTACATCCCTGGGGATCCCGAGTCCTCCCTTGGGCTGCAGGATCTGGGTTGTCCCTATGGGAGAAGGGATGGGGTGAAGCCAAAGCAAAGGCTTGAGGAGGGAGAGGAGGGTTAAGGCCGGCTCCGGAGCTGATGGAAAGAAGGGAAAGGAAAGAAGGGAAAGGAGGAGGATGAAGGCTCAGGCAGAGCTCTGGGGACCGGGAGATGAATGACCCAGCCTCAGCGCTCCCCGTTAATGGCATTTCAATGCTGGCTGCGAGAGCCTGGCCGGGGAGGCAGGCAGGAAGTCTGGCCGGAGATGAGTCGGGAAGACGATGCCTTTGGGGACCCCCAGGTCAGAGCATCCCCCCCCCCGCCCCTTAACAGTGAAGGGGGAGAACCCGGTCCCTTCCACCAGGGACAGAGCCCGCAGTGAAGGAAGGAGCCTGGGGACAGCCTTTGCCAGCAGAGGGGACTGTTGCTTGTGTCTGGAGCTCGCCCGGAGCCGCCCCTTGGGACAACGGGGGAAAGGGCGATTTCCCTTTCCCTCTGTTCCTTGTGGGGGGGACGGGACCCGAGGGCTCATCCCATGGGAGAACCGCGGAGGGGCGATCCCATGGGAGAGCCTCGGGGAAGGGGAGGCCGCGGGGGGGGCTGGGGGGGGTCGGGTTCTCCTCATCTGATGTTTTCCTGCTTCTTTTGTTCCCGAGTTTCCCGTTGGGAGCCCCCTCCCCTCGCCCCCCGCACTGGAACCAAAGCGGAGCCGGCTCTTGCCAAGTCCCTGCCGCGGAACCGGCTGCAGTCACCGTTGGGTTTCCCATGTGGAATGCGAGGAGGCTGCAGCTGGACACAGCTGGATGCAGCACCCCAAGGGGGGGGGGGGCGGGTGATGCCCTGTGCACCCCCCCCTCCTCTGTCCCCCTTGTGCCAAAGCGATGTCGCTATGGGTGCAGGGCACTGAGCTCAGAACTGGGCACTGAGGGGCACCGGTGCTCCCAGCCAATACCTACCCGGGAATACGGGACCGTAGACGGGCTCCATTGGGCTTCCTTAGCCCCGCGGTTCGGAGCAGCAAGGAAGGGATGCCCTCATCACCAGCCCACCTTTGGACATCTCCCATGCTCCATGCTGAGACCCAAAGCAGCCCCTCCAGCCCCACAGCAGCCCTTCCAGCCCCACAGCAACTCCTCCATCCCCACAGCAGCCCCTCCATCCCCACAGCAGCCCCTCCAGCCCCACAGCAACTCCTCCAGCCCCACAGCAGCCCCTCCAGCCCCACAGCAACTCCTCCAGCCCCACAGCAACTCCTCCAGCCCCACAGCAGCCCCTCCAGCCCCACAGCAGCCCCTCCCCCCACACAGCCCCTCCCCCCACACCGCCCCTCCGCCCCACACCAGCCCCTCCGCCCCACAGCAGCCCCTCCAGCCCCACATCAGCCCCTCCTCCCACAGCAGCCCCTCCAGCCCCACAGCAGCCCCTCCAGCCCCACAGCAGCCCCTCCAGCCCCACAGCAGCCCCTCCAGCCCCACAGCAGCCCCTCCAGCCCCACAGCAGCCCCTCCAGCCCCACAGCAGCCCCTCCAGCCCCACAGCAGCCCCTCCAGCCCCAAGAAGCACCTTGCTCTTCCCCCAGGCTGGAGCATCACATCTGGCTCACAGCTGGGTCGGGGGGGGGGCTCAAGCGGCTGGAGCCGGTGCGGGCTGGAGGCGGGCAGGAGCGGAAGGGTTAAAGCTGGCGGCTCGCCCGGGCCGCAGGGGCCTCCCACTTGCCCACGAGCAGTATGAATAGGAGCGCTCCCCTCTGCTCCAGGCGCTCTTCCCTCCCTGCCTTCCCCCTCTAGCAGAGCATCCCCCGGCGCAGCGATGCTGAGCACCGCGGGCTTGAGCGGCCCGAGAGCCCTGGGCGAGGAATCGCTGCAGATGTGGGAGCTCAACAAGCGGCTGGAGGCTTACCTGGAGCGGGTGAAGGGGCTGGAGGAGGAGAACGAGGCGCTGCGAGCCGAGATCCAGAGCGCCAGGAGCGGCCCGGGCGGGGAGCAGCGGAGGGGCGAGTACGAGGAGGAGCTGCGGGCGCTGCGGGATGCGCTGCGGGACGCCCACAGCGGGAAGTGCGCGGCGGAGCTGGCCCGGGCCAGGCTCTACGAGGAGGTGCAGCGGGTGAGGAGTCGGTGCCGTAAGGAGCAAGCGGCTCGGGAAGCGGCCAAGCAGGAGCTGTCGGTGAGCAGGAAGGAGCTGGAGGAGGAGAGGAGGGCGCAGATCTGGCTCAAGGAGAGCGCCGTGAGGCTGCAGAAGGAGGTGGAAGCTCTGCTGGAGGTGCACGAGGAGGAGAAAGCGGCGCTGGAGCAGGACCTCGCCGGCTTCTCGCAGAGCCTCGAGAGCTTCCGCTGCGCGCCCGTGGCTTTCCAGCCCCTGGAGGTGGAGGATTACTGCGAGCGGCTCTCGGAGATCTGGAAAGGGGCGGTGGAGACCTACAGGGCGGAGGTGGGGCAGCTGGAGGGGTCCCTGTGCCAGGCCAAGGAGAGCCTCTGGAAGGCTGCGGAGGGGAACCAGCAGAGCCGGCTCCAGCTCCAGCGCCTGGAGAAGGACCTGGCTGGGCTCAAAGCGCGGAAGGAGATGCTGGAGGAGTCCTTGTCCCGGCAGTGGCAGGAGCAGCGCGGGGAGGCAGAGAAGTTCCAGGTGGGTGAAGGAGCGGAGCAGCTCCGGAGCATCCCTGTCCCCATCACTGCAAGGACCAGCGGAGCAGCACCCGGACACTGGGTCCGTTCCCATCAACCTGCCTGGAGCTGCTGCTCCGCATCCCACAGGAGCGGAACGAGGGGGGGGAGCGGGTCATGGGCAGGATAAACTCCGACCGACTTCGCTGCAGCTGCAGCCCAACAGCTGCAGAAGTCATTCAGCAGAGGGGGAATGGGGCTGGAATGCCGGGATAGCGCCCGGGGAAGGCGCCCTCTTTGTTCCAGGTCCAGGGATCAGCCACGGGCACCACAGAGCAAGAGAAGCCAAAGATGCTTCTTTCCCACGCTGGCATCCCGCAGTCCTGCATCCCGCCGGCATTCCCAGCCTCGCAGCCCCCTCCCCATCACTCTGGGCCATCCTTCCTCCCCTCGCCCCCTCTCCCCATCCTCAGCCCCCCTCAAATCAAGCGCCCCTTTTCCCTATGGAACGGACCCGCATGGTCCCGTGTCCGGCAGGGCAGGGACAGGGCTGAGGTGTCCCTGTTGCCATCCCGCAGCTGGCGCTGGAGGCCCTGGAGCAGGAGAAGCAGACGCTGCGGGTGCAGATCGCCCAGGTCCTGGAGGACAGGCAGCAGCTCATGCACCTCAAGATGTCCCTGAGCCTGGAAGTGGCGACCTACAGGTGAGGTCCCGATGGGGAGCACGGCGGGCACGCACGGAAGATGCGGGGGGGGGGGGGGTTGCAAAGGGGGTGTCCCTCTCCCAGCCCTTCCAGATGGCCCCAGACAAAGGCGCTGCCGGTGATGGGGGGGGGGCACGATTAGCATGAGAATAGGGGCTGTCCCCAGCGCCGGCCCCGGCAGAGCATGATGTCACCGGAGCGGACACTAATCCTGGGAACAGGGGGATGGGACGGGAGACGGGAGCAAGGCGGGATGGGGGGGGGGATAGAGCAGCAGAACCCCCGCAGCCCTCCCGTGCCTCAGTTTCCCTGCGAGGTGCAGCTCCCCCCCCTGCAGCACCCACCATGGGGCACCCACCATGGGGCACCCACCATGGGGCACCCACCGCGCTTCCTCTCCCTGCAGGACGCTGCTGGAAGCAGAGAGCACCCGCTTGCAAATGCCAGCAGGGGAATACCGGCTGGCCAACGGCTTGAGAGGTAAGGGACCACCCCGGCTCCATCCCAGCTCCATCCCTGGCTCCATCCCTGGCACCATCCCGGCTCCATGCCCGGCTCCATCCCCAGCTCCATCCTGGCTCCATCCCCAGCTCCATCCCCGGCTCCATCCCGGCTCCATCCCGGCTCCATCCCCGGCTCCATCCCAGCTCCATCCCTGGCACTATCCCGGCTCCATCCCTGGCTCCATCCTAGCTCCATCCCTGGCTCCATCCCTGTCACCATCCCTGGCTCCATCCCCAGCTCCATCCCTGGCACCAGGATGGGGGATTTTGGGATGAGGCTCGATATAGACACAGTTTTCCTGGCTGGTTGCTCAGCTCTGATAGGAAGGTGTGAACAGCATCCAGAGAGCTCCTGGCATGATAAGAGTTTATCATCCCTGTGGGATGCCAACCCCCCCCCCCCCCCCACTGGCATCCGCAGCACTCCAGGCAGGAATTTCCCACTTCCCATCAAGGAGCTGTTTAAAAATAGGCACAGGGCATCGAGAGGTGATGGGGTTGGGAGAGGGGAGGGGATGGAGGAGCCCCACAAGCGGCTCCTCACCCTCTGCCCCTCGCTCTTTGCAGATCTCAAGCTGGAGGGGAGCAGCAGCACCAAGCTGGGCCCTGAGGCCAGGAGGACGCTGCCCTGGGAGCCCCGAGCCAGCCCCTTGCCCCTCAGCAGGGCAGAGGGGAGGGGGCAGCCAGGGAAAGGCCCAAGTGATGCTCTGAGCCCCCAGACCCCGAGCGCGGGTACCAGGGAGCTCCAGTGCATCAATGCTGCCCATGGCCCAGCCCCACGGGATGCTCCCAGCTTCCCTGCAGCAAGCCCCTCACAGCCCATCCAGCTCCCCCCAGAGCCCCCCAGCCCCACACTGGGGAGCCCAGGGGAGGGTCCTGCCTGGCCGGGGGGAGATGAGGATGAGAGGAGCCAAGGGAAGGAGCATCCCGCACCCGAAGCCATGGAGAAGCCCCACAGCCTGCGGTACCCGGCCCAGCTGGTGAGCGCGGCGCTGGAGGATGCACTCAAGGAGATGAAGGATGATGCTCAAGCCAAAGAAGAGCCCGTGCTCAGCGCTGCCTGGGCCCCCCTGGGTGCCCCCAGCCCCATTCCCCACACAGAGGCAGGAGAAGGGCAAGACCCCTCTGAGGGTGATGAGGATGGTGAAGGCCCGGAAGCAGAGGAGAAGGTTGAGGGGTTCATGGTCCAGGGGCTGGGTGCGGAGAGCAGCGCCCAGCAGGATGGAGCCGCGTCCCCTCCTTGTGGCTTTGCTGCTTCCCTAAGGGCCACTGCGAGCCGGGGAGAGATGGGAGAGGGAGAAGAGGAGATTCCCCCTGTGCTGAGCCCAAGGGAACCAGAAGCGGTGGCCCAGGAAGAGGACAAGAGCAGCCCTGGCCAGACAGGGCCCAGCTGGGAAGAGCCAGAGCAAGGGGAGGAGGAGGTGGAGGTCCCAAGCATGGAGGCATCGCACCCGGAGGAGGAGGAAGAGGAGGAGGAGGAGGAGGAGGAGGGAGCATCCCCCATCCCCTGCGGGGAGCACGGTGACTTCCAGGGTGAGGGGATGGATGAGCACCAAGAGGAGACCCCCCCAAGGGAAGCTGCAGGTGCTGGTGCTGCCCCCGAGGGAAGCCACCGGGGCCTGGATGAGGACGTTAGGGATGGAGAGCAGGATGATCCCGAGCACCAGGAGCCTGAGCGCGAGGCAGGGCAGGAGCCCTGGAGCATCCATGGGGCCAGCCCGGTGCTGGAGGCTCCATGGGGGGCTGAGGAAGATGCGGTGGAAAGGGAGGGCTCAGGCAGGGCTGAAGGGGAGGGAGAGGAGGGGGAGGCCAGCGGGGGGGTGCTGGGGGCAGGACCCGGAGCCCTGGGCCGGGAGAGCAGAGCCCAGGAGGAGCCGCAGGGAAAGGACCTCATGGAAGGGGAGCGGGAGCCGGAGCAGGGAGAGGAGCCCTGGGGCCAAAAGCCCCCTGCAGAGCCCTGGGAGGAGGCAGCGGAGGGCACGGAGGGGGCTCTGGGGACAGAGGAGACCCCACGGAGCACAGGAGGGCTGGGAGGGGAGGACAGAGCTGGGGCACGGCCGGAGGGAACCCAAGCAGAGGGGGCTGAAGGGGCTGAGCCGGCCCCGGAGCTGGCCAGGGATGAGCAGGACGGCTCCATGGGGCAGGCGGTCCCCAGCAGTCCCCTTGGGCGAGGGGGCAGCCCGGAGCTGGCCGAGGCCCTGGAGGAGCCATGGGAAGGGCAGGGTGAGGATGCTGATGATGAGGATGCTGACGATGAGGATGCCGGTGATGAGGATGCTGGCGATGAGGATGCCGGTGATGAGGATGCTGGCGATGAGGATGCTGGCGATGAGGATGCTGGCGATGAGGATGCCGGTGATGAGGATGCTGGTGATGAGGATGCTGATGATGCTCCCGGCTCCATCCCTGCGGAGCTTCCACAGGCACCAGGCATGGAGAGGGATGGGGTGCTGGTGGAGCAGGATGGGCCATTGGAGGAGGATGAGGATGAGGATGAGGATGGGGGCTTGGGGGAGCTGCAGGAGGCAGCAGGGCCAGGCAGGATGCTGGAGCTGGAGGACACGCTGCCCGACAGCACCCCCCTGCACCTCTATGGAGGGGAGGTGCTGGATGTGGCCCCATCCAACCAAACCCCTCTGGAGGCTGAGGACACCTTGGAGGCAGCTCCAGAGGATGAAGGGTGGCTGGAAGGGGGGGACAAGCCCCCAGCATCCAGCATGGCCCAGAGGCGTGAGGAGGAGGCAGGCGCAGAGGGTGCTGAGGAGGAGGAAGGTTACTTCATGGTCTCTGCCCCCAACCAAGAGGGTTCCAGCTCGGAGGAAGCCGAGGTCTCCGAGGACTTTGAAGAGATCAAGGCTGAAGCAAGCGAAGGCAGCAGAGGTGATGGGGAAGCGGCTGGAGGAGCATCCCCAGCACCAGGGAACCAGGGGCACTTTGAGGCACCACTTGGAGCAGATGCAGCCATGAGGATGCCCACAGAGATGCTGAAGGAGGAGGAGGAGGCTGAGGGGGGTTCCTCAGAGCCGGAGGAAGGCCCCGTTGTGCCCAGGGCCATGGGGCCAGTGGCAGCAGGCACTGAGGAACCAGCCCAAGCTGCTGAACCGGATGAGGAGCTCGATGGAGCAGTGGAGCCGGACGGTGCCGGAACAGCCCAAGGCTGCAGCCTGGGGCTGCAGGAGGAGGAACCCATGGCCGAGCCCATCCCTCCAGCAGGGCTCCAGCCCCAGGAGGTGCCGGTTCCTCTGCCCCACCAAGGAGAGCAGCACCCATCAGGTGAGGAGCACCCATCAGGTGAGGAGCACCCATCAGATGAGCAGCACCCATCAGATGAGCAGCACCCACCATGTGAGGAGCACCCATCAGAAGAAGAGCATCCATCAGATGAGCAGCACCCATCAGATGAGCAGCACCCATCAGATGAGCAGCTCCCATCAGGTGAGGAACATCCATCAGCTGAAGACCATCCATCAGATGAGCAGCTCCCATCAGATGAGCAGCACCCATCAGGTGAGGAACATCCATCAGAAGAGCAGCATCCATCAGATGAGGAACACCCATCAGATGAAGAGCATCCATCAGCTGAGGACCATCCATCAGATGAGCAGCTCCCATCAGATGAGCAGCTCCCATCAGATGAGCAGCTCCCATCAGATGAGCAGCACCCATCAGACGAAGACCATCCATCAGATGAGCAGCTCCCACCAGATGAGCAGCACCCATCATGTGAGGAGCACCCATCAGTTGAAGACCATCCATCAGATGAGCAGTTCCCATCACATGAGCAGCACCCATTATGTGAGGAGCACCCATCAGATGAAGAGCATCCATCAGATGAGCAGCATCCATCAGTTGAGGGCCATCCACCAGAAGAGGAGTATCCACCAGAAGAGGAGCACCCATCAGATGAGCAGCATCCATCAGCTGAAGACCATCCATCAGATGAGGAGCACTCATCAGATGAGCAGCTCCCATCAGATGAGCAGCATCCACCAGTTGAAGACCATCCATCAGAAGAGGAGCCCCCATCAGATAAGCAGCACCCACCAGATGAACCTCACCCATCAGATGATCAGCACCCATCAGATGAGCAGCACCCATCAGTTGAGCATCCATCAGTTGAGGACCATCCACCAGAAGAGGAGCACCCATCAGATGAGCAGCACCCATCAGATGAGCACCCATCAGATGAGCAACACCCATCAGATGAGCAGCACCCATCAGATGAGCAGCACCCATCAGATAAGGACCATCCATCAGTTGAGCATCCATCAGTTGAGGACCATCCACCAGAAGAGCAGCACCCATCAGATGAGGAGCCTCCATCCACGGAGCAGGACGCAGGGGATGGTCACAGCCTTCTCCCAGCTGATGCCAAGGAGCCCCCCGAGGCTGAGCCACCTCATGGCAGCCCCGTACCGGAGCAGGGGGCATCCCCAGAGGTGCTTGAAGAGCAACCGGATGCCGTGGAGGTGCCGCTGGGCATCCCGGAGGCCCGGGATCTCCTGGAGCTCGTGGAGCAAGCCTTGGAGTTCAACCAGGAGCTGGTGATGGGCGCGAGGGCGGCCGAGGGCAGGGAGCAGGGGCCCGGCAGCACCGAGGATGCTGGGGAAGGTTCCTCCCCGACCTCATCCAGCGCGGAGGAGCCCACGGTGCAGGAGGCGGCGGCGGAGGCGGCTCCGGTGCGGGCTGAGAACGGGCTGCACCGCGCCGCCAGCCTGGAGGACCTGGCTGAGCTCAGCGAGGAGGTGCCCAACGGCATCACCGGTGCAGCTCCAGGATTCCCTATGGAGAGCACAGACCCCACTGTGGCCATGCTGGGCACCGGAGATGCCGCCGGCACCAAGGGAGCCGATGCCATCGCATGTGGCAAACACGGCGATGCCGTCCCCATCCGAGCCGAGCAGGAGCCCTGCTCCATGGGGGATGAGTGATGGGGACCCCTCCGGTACCCCCCACCCTGTGATAACCCAGCACCCCCTTTGCCACCCCCCCCCATGGTCTTTAATGCCTTTGTGTGGGTTTTTGTGTCCCCTCTCAATGAAGAGCCACCAAGGCCATGGGTCGCATGCAGGGACCCGGCCCCATCTCTGCCCCCTCGGGGTGTGTGGTTGTGGCTGTATTTAATTGAACCCCATCTTTTCCCCCTCCCATCTCCACCCCACGGGGTCCCCGTTGCCCACATGGGGTTCCCCGCTCCCCACATGGGGTTCCCCACGCCGGGTGCGTTCGCTGCCGTGATGTGAAGTTAATAAAGCCTCAGCCTCCAGCTCCTCTCCTCATTCCAGCCCCAGGGAAGCTGCCACCACGGGTTGGGAACGGGGGCCCCAGGAGGATGCTCCCTGATGTCCCCATTGTGCGTCTCCAGGGTGACGGCCCCCATCCCCAGGCTCATGTGACCCCCATCCATGGGTTGATGCTCTCCCATCCCCAGGGCGATGCTCCTGCATCCCTGATGTGACCTCGGCTCAATGGTCCCTCATCCCTGGGGTAGTGCTCCCTATTCCAGGGCAATGCAGCCCCCTGGGTGATCACAGATCCATGGAATCAGCCTGGGCGGGAGCGGGACGGGAGTCCAGCCCACCCCATCCCAGTGCCAGCGCCTCCAGCCATGAGCCAGCAAATCCAGCCGCTATTCCAGCCTGGATCAGGCAGGATGCCCTTGGGACCGGTACTGCTGAGCATCACACTGGGGTGCCCATCACCCCGGTGGGACCCGGACACATCTTTGCCCCTTTTCCCAAAGGATGCTGAGCCTCAGGATGGGGCTGGGGTGGGTTCAATGCCCTTTGTGTGAGCAGGCGTGGGGACGGCGCTGCATAAATCAGCCTTTGGGCACAGAATGGGCTCCTTTATCTTGGGCAAAGGGCTGAGTCACCCTGGGCTAGGGGACAGGAGCGGCGGCACCCACTGGTGCTGATGGGTGCGCTCAGCATCGCCCCTCGGGTGCCCGCCTGCCTGGCCCCGTTGCTCCCCCACACTCCGGATGCAGCCCGTGCCAGCACCGGGATGCTGGGAGCCAGGGAGCGATAAGGACCCCCCGTGGCTCTGCCTTTCCCCATGGGAAGCCCCCGGCCCCCGCCCGCCTCCAAGCCCGAGGGTGACGCTTTCCTTTTAAGGTGAAACTCCAGCAGATCCGAGCACCGGGGTGAAATCAAACACAAGCCCCGGGATGAGCTGGAGCAGGCGCCGGGGCCGGGATCAGCCTGGGCAGCATCAGCCCAATGGCAGCGCCGGTTCCCCCCCCCCGCTCCCCGGTGTCACCCCTAAAGCTGCCCGGTGATGGCAGCGGATGGATGGATGCATGGATGCATGGATGAGGAGATTCCCAAGGCGGGGGGGGCACATTCCTAATGAAATGAATCCACATTCCAGCCGGTGCTGACAAAGCGACGAGGGGGCACAGATGGTGGAGGGGAGGAGGAGGAGGAGGAGGAGGATGGGATGAGGCTGCCCAGGGCTATGGGGCACTCGGTGGGGTGGGTTCACAGACCCCAGGGTCCCAAATGTGTGCTCAGTGGGATAAAGCGGGTCCCAAACTGGTCCAAGCGTGCCCTGATGGGATCAAGTGTGGCCATGATGGGACCAAGCATGTCCCAGTGATGAGCATGTCCATGATGGGACCAAGCATGTCCCAGTGATGAGCATGTCCATGATGGGACCAAGCATGTCCCAGTGATGAGCATGTCCATGATGGGACCAAGCATGTCCCAGTGATGAGCATGTCCATGATGGGACCAAGCATGTCCCAGTGATGAGCATGTCCATGATGGGACCAAGCACATTCCCGATGGGATTCAGCGTGTCCCTGATGGAACCGGGTGCCCCCCAATGGGACCGAGCATCGTGTTCCCAACGGGACCAAGCGTGTCCTGATGGGACCAAACGTGTGCCAACGGGACACAGGGCACCTGCATCCCTCCCATGTCCCATCCCGTCCCCCTGCAGACCAGGAGCCACCAAACCACAGCGGGCACAGGGCAATGGGGGTCCAGCCATGGGGAGGGGGGGGGCTGTGGGGCTGCTGCTTTAAGACCCCCCCCATCCCACCCCATGCCGGCCCCCCGCAGCCGGGAGGGGTTTGTTTGGCGAGAGTGGGATTTCAATGGAGCCACCACAAAACCTCCCTATGGGGTGAGGGCTTGGGGGGGGGGGGGGTTGGGATGACCTCAGCGATGACTTCATCCCGCTCCCGGCTCCCAAAAACTCCTGGGAACCTTATAAGGAAAGGACTAAAAATACAGCGCAGGGGCCGGGGCAGCCCCCTCCCCACAGCGAGCCCCTTGGGGGGGGGGGGGTGGGCGAGCAGGAGCCGCGCTGGGGCCACCAAGGGGTCCCTATGGGCTGTCCCCTATGGGGGGGACAATGGATGGAGACCTAACTCCCCCCCCGGGTCCCCAGCCCCACTCAGCGCAGGGATGGGGGGGTCCCATCCCCATTCCCAGCCATTCCCAGCCCTTCCTGCAACCCCCGCTCGGGATGCTCCCCCCCCCGCCCTTCACCCGGGTCACAGCCCCCGGAATAGCTCCGGTCTCTATATTAAGCTCTTGGCCCGGTTTTGGGGCTCATTCAGCTGCTGGGGCCTGACCCCCCCCCCCCGGCAGCTGCTGCCAAACCGGGGCAATCGCGGATGCCTGAGGCCGAGCCCCGCGGCTGGATCCCGCCGGGAATGTGCGTCTGGAGCCGTCTGTCAGCGGAGGGGGGGGTGGAGGGGCCCGGGGGCGATGCTCCCCCATTGCGTCCCATTGCATCCCACCAAATCCCATTGCATCCCACCACATCCCATCTCATCCCATTGCATCCCATCGCATCCCGTCACATCCCACCAAATCCCACCACATCCCATTGCATCCCATCGCATCCCATCGCATCCCATCGCATCCCACCACATCCCATCGCGTCCAATTGCATCCCATCGCATCCCACCAAATCCCATTGCATCCCATTGCATCCCACCACATCCCATCGCATCCCACCAAATCCCACCACATCCCATTGCATCCCATCGCATCCCACCAAATCCCATTGCATCCCATTGCATCCCACCACATCCCATCGCATCCCACCAAATCCCACCACATCCCATTGCATCCCACCACATCCCATTGCGTCCCATTGCATCCCCACCAAATCCCATCTCATCCCATTGCATCCCACCACATCATATCCCATTTCATCCCATCGCATCCCACCGCACCCCACCACATCTCACTACATGTCATTGCATCCCACCACATCCCATTGCATCCCACCACATCCCATCCCCAGGGACCACTCTCCCGTCTCCATGGAGCAATGCCCCCTCCCTGTTTACGCACCCCCAGCACCCATAAACAGGGTGCAGGATGCGGCACCGTCCGGGATGTGCCACCCTTTCATTAAGTGGGGTGGGAATGGGATGGGGAAAGGGATGCAGCGTGGGAAGCAGCTCAGGCGCATCCCAACACGTGTGTGCCAGCGCCGTGCCTCGGTTTCCCTTCTCATCCAGCTCCAAATGGCAAGGGGCTGAGGCCACAACGGGAGAAGGGGACACCCCCTGGCACCCACCGATGGGACACCGGGATGGGGGCAGCGAGGGCAGGAGGTGACTCAGCTCCGGCCACGCCGCTGACAAAGCGGTTCCTTCCTCCTGGAGCTGCCGGTGACCGCGTGCAGGTGGCACCGGGACAAACAGGGATGTGCCCCCCCCCCCCGGATCCATGGACCCCTCAGATCCCGGTGGGTGCCGCGGGGGGGTGGGGACGGTGCAGGATGCGGGGACAGGATGTGACCGGGGCCGGTCCTGAGGCACCCCCGCAGCTGGGGCTGGGTCCGGCTCCAGAAAGGGACGAGGCTCCAGAGCGTCCTGCACAGTTCGGGGAGCCCATTCCCAGTTCGGAGACCCCATTCCCAGTTCAGGGACCCCATTCCCAGTTCGGGGACCCCATTTCCAGTCCAACATCTCCATTCCCAGTTCAGGGGCCCCATTCCCAGTTTGGGGTCCCCATTCCCAGTTCGGGGACCTCATTCCCAATTCAGGGACCCCATTCCCAGCTTGGGGACCCCATTCCCAGTTCAGGAACCCCATTCCGAGTTCAACGTCTCCATTCCCATTCCAACGTCTCCATTCCCAGTTCAGGGGCCCCATTCCCAGTTTGCCGACCCCACGCCAGCCCTTGCCCATCCATCAGGCTGGAAAACCTCCAGGAATCCCGACCACATTCCAGCTGCGGGCCGGTGGAGGGGGGGGGGGGGGTCCCTGAAACCCCATCGGGGTGACAACTGCCGGCTCGGGTTTCGGGGTCACCTGCAGGTCCATGGGACCCCCCTCATCCTCCTTCTCCTCCTCCATGGACCCCCCAAACCTCTCCCTGCTGCTGCCCCCCCCAATAGGGGACATGGACCCCCCCAACCTCTTCTTGTTGCCCCCCCCCTTGGGGTCGGGCGCAATCGCGACCCGCCCCTATCGCGACCGGATCCCGCCGCTGCCCGCACCGCGCCCTTCGGCGCTCCCTGCTGGCTGTCCGCAGCGCTCGGCACTCGCACTCCTTCCCCTGATTGGCCACTTTGTTCTAGCCAATGAAAGAGGTGTCATGCCGAGGAGGCGGACCCGGCAGTATATCACAGCCAATCGCGTTCCTCATCCTGGAACAGCTGGTAACCAATGAAAGCCGGGACCGGGTCTGGCAGCTGATAGAGGCGCTGCCAATGGGCTCGGCGGGAGGTGGGCAGGAGGCGGTTCGCATCCAATGAGTGCAAAGGGAGGGGCTCAGTAGGCGGTCCGCAGCCAATGGGGAGCGCGGGGGGCGTGGCCCCGGCTTCCAGAGAGTTCGGAGACGGGAGCGGAGCTGCGGTGAGTGATGGCGGCCCCGGTGTCCCCCGGTGTCCCCCGGTGTCCCCGCTCCCGGTCCCCGCTCCCCCGCCTCGCCCGGGCCCGCTCCGCTACCGGCGGACCCGGGGCAGCAGCGGCCGGGGCCTGTCAGCACCGCGGCCCGGCCTGCGGCGGCCCCGCTGC